CTTCCAAAAGTTTGAGTCCACTTATTATATTTTTATTATAAATTTTAACTTTGACAATTTTTAAATTCTTAATTATATAATTAAAAATTATAAAATTTATATATATTATATCTTAATATTAGTTTTATTTATTATATTTTTTTAAAGAAGAACTCTTTTCACTAATCCCTTGACCACATACAAAAAAGATGTTTGCAAGAAATTTTTTATTTCTTTATTAATAAAGTCTTAACACTATCCTTAAATCAACTTGAAGTTTTATTTCAAGAGATACTTCCAAATTCTTTTTCTTATTTATATTCATTTTCAAACAAAAACTTGGCTTTCTGTAACCTAAAAAAGTCAAAAAACACCTTCTCTACCAATGGCAAAAAAGTTTTACAAGGAAAAAAACCTAATAGTATAGTACTTGAAGCCTTTTATATTAAAGCAAGTCTATAGAGATTTCTAACAATGGGAAATGATAAACATCAAGCCATATTTCAAAGTGTTTGCTATTTGTATCTTTCCTCTTATAGTCACCAAAAATTTTTTTAATTTTCTGAGGAATTTTGCTTACCATAGTTTGACCCTGAATTTTAAATGACACAATTCATTGCAAAATATGATTGATGAATATGAAACATATTAGTAGCTGAATGTAAACAAGTATCTATTGATCACTTCATATATTTTGATAACATTATTGATAAAAGAAAGAGAATCTATTGATGTGAATCCTCCACTCCTCCAAATGAAGTGTAATTGAAGCAAAGAAATAATGAGACCATTAGGATGAATACCAAATTTTTTAAGTAATGAAAAGCTAGTTATTTATTCAATCTGAGATCTTTAACTTCTTATTATCTCAGTTAGGCAAAGTATATAAAGAATGTTATTTCCTTATTCTGGTCAAGCAATAAAACCAAAAAGTAGAAGAATGTGAGTCACTATCCTTCTCTAGAATTAAGAATGCATTTCTTTAGACATTGTGTAATGATATCATAATCGATAAGGATCCTCACACTGCATGAGACCATTTCATCATTATAAGACAAAAAGATTGTTGAGGAATCTGATTTTTTGGACAATGGAAGATACTTACCATTGCAAGACAAAAAGATTGTTGAGGAATCTGATTTTTTGGACAATGGAAGATACTCACAAGTAAAATTTCTTTAATTAGGTATAGCTGTTAGAAGATATTAATGGTCATACAATATGACTGAAAGGTTATATAAGAACCTGGAATCCATTATAAGTTGTTACTTAATATGAATAGATATAATAAAATAAAACCAAAAAAAAAAAGCGATAAGTAAAATATTGGATCCGAGTAGGCAATAAGTACATCAGATGATCAGGAAAAAGAAAAATATTTCAAAAGTGTTGACTTCTAATGAGAGGAGGTTTTTAACAAAGGTTATTTAAAGGATATAGAGCATTTTTATTTTCTTTTTTCTTTTTTTTTTCATGTAACACATTTGTGCATTTTTAAATATTCCCTTTCCTTTATTTTTTCTTTCTCTTATTGTAGTTTCTTGAAATCAATTCTTTAGAGGATAATAGGCAATGACAACCTATTGGCAATAATGGATAAGTTAGGAGAGTCTTTATTCAAAACTTATTCCAGAGCAAAATATTATTTCCAAGGTCACACTTAGAGACTTAAGCTCATTTGAGAATCGAAAGCTGTTAATAAATAAGTTAGCATAAGATTTAGTTTAGCCATGATATAATTGTTCAATGTATTTCTAGCAGTTTTCTTAAAGATTAATAAACACACTATGCTGACTTGACTGCAAGTTTAAAAAAAATTTTTTTTTTATTATATTTTTTTTAAAAAAAATTTTTATATGTAATTTTTAAAGTTTTATTATTGCTAAAAAAAAATTTTTTTTATCAAATTTTTACTTTAGAGAATTTTAATTGACTAATATTGTAAATCATATGATAATTAATAAAAAAAAATAAAGATATTTAATAATAATAAAACTTTAGAATCTATTAATAAAAACCTTTTAAAAAAATATAAAAAATAGAATAAATATCAATATATAATATATATAATTTTATGATTTTTGACTGTATAATTAACTGTTTAAAAATTGTCAAAGTTGAAATTTATAATAAAAATATAGTAAATGGACTCAAACTTTTGGAAGCAATCATAAATATTTATATAAAATTGCAAAAATATTTATTTTATATAATAATAATAATATATCATAATAATAGGATTATAGATTAAAAAAAAAAAAAAGCAAATTAAAATTAGATATATTTCTGATAGGTAATAGAATTTCTAAACAGTATATAAAGAAATAATTAAAATCAAAAATAAATAAACTTCTTAGATACAGTAGTTAAAAAAAGAAAGAATATCTTTTTAAGAGTATTAATTTATTGAAAAAGTATTGAATTTTTTAAAAGAGTATTAATTTATTGAAAAAGTATTGAATTTTTTAAAAGATATTTAAGGATATTTACATATTATATATTTTTTTTCTTTATATTTTCTTTTTTAATATAGTTTTTATTTTATTTAGTATTAGAAGGATCTTTATTTGAAGTATTTATGAAACATTATAGTGTTTCCACGATCAAATTTAGAGACTTTAACTTAAGACAAGTTTGTTGATAGTAGATATAGTTTAACTTTATTTCACGTGTACTTGTAGGACTTAATGAAAAATAGAAAAGCACGATTCGCATATTGTATATATAACGCTATATTTTATACTAAGTAGTCTTTTGATAAATAAATGCATGCCACTAACCTAGCTTAAATGGATTATTGCAAAAAAAAAATAATAATAATAATTTAATTTTATATCCAAAGCCAATTCTTCTGTTAATAATAATAAAAAAATTATATTAGAAGATATTCGGATTCTTTATTAAAAGTTGATTTATGAATTTGCATTCTAAACGTGATCGCGCGAGTATGCCTTAAACTAAATTTGTGATTATCAAATATACCCAAAAATTAAATTTGCTTTTTTGCGACATGATCTTCAATAAAATCTTTAAATGTTTCAAGTAAAAAACCAATAGATAATATGTAAGTTTAAGATAGTATTTCAAAAAAAAACAAAAAAACGATATCAAAATATCTTGTCAAATGAACTCCCAAAAAGTGCACCAATGCCTCAAAAGTACTAGGTACACGTGTATTTTCGAATTTGCAAATTTAAAAAAAGTTCGCTTACAAATGCTTTTTTAGTGTATCACAAATTAGCGAATCATTGTTTCGTTATATTTCACTTTGACGTATCATGAATGTGATCCGGAATAATTTCGATGTTAATCAGTTATGATTTATGATCAAAAATTATAATATTTTTTTATTAAGCGATGTATCCAAGAGAGTAGTGCCCCTTGATTTATTTGCCACTTTTGTTAAAGATGCATGCGGTCGGCTTATTGTGCATGAAATCTCGAATTTTTATTATATCATTGTTTTTTTTTTTCTTTTTTTCTTTTTCTTTTTTTTTTTTTTTTGAATTAAAAATGTTTTACTAGGGCACCCGTAGAATGAATGATTTTACAGTAATCAAAGAATCTATTAACTTTCGCTATATCTACATGGTGGATCACTAATTAATTATATAATTGTTTTGTATACAAAAAAGGAGGTGATATTATTCACAGAATATCATTCTACCACTTGGCAAAAGCGGTAGATGACATAGAAATTTTGCTGTCTAAAGAAGTGTCTTCGATATGCTTTCTTATTAGGATATTATTCAAGAAAAAAATTAAATACAATCTCATCGGTCATACTCAGGCTTCCCCTTCGTTCCCTTCTCAAGCCAACCGTATATAATTTTGCTTCTGGGTGGCGGCCCTGACGTGCAGCTTGAAGAAATTAGAGAACCCTCATCAATCTGATTCGTTGGCATCGCCTGCTGAAGCCGAACATTAACTTGAGTTATCGAAGGCGCCTGCAGACCATTCCAGTTAGAGATATTTGGTGTAACGCTGATTCGATTAATATTACTAGATGATGAATGTCTATTCTGAGATTGACGCGAACGAGGTTCAAATTCCACATATGCTGGTGGAGGAACGTTTCCAATAAAATTATTGGATTGTGGAGTCTGTTGGTTTAGTGCTTGACGAGAACGAGAATTTCCATGATTCAAGAATATTGGAGGAATGTTAAATCTGTTTCCTGTGGAATCACTGGATCGCGGAGGTTGTAGACTCAGAGACAAACGAGAACGAAACTCATTTTCCATGGATACATGCTGAGGAGCGTTGTTAGCCTTGGATAGGGGATTCGACGTCCGCGTGTCTAACGTAATGGATCTGATATCATTTTCTACGTCATCGGCGGTCAACTTGTCATCAGCTCGCACCTGTAATGTCATAACATTTATTGAGAGATTCGTGGTTAAGCATAATAATTATAACGAGAAATCATTATTTCCAATTAATTTTACATGTGAAAAGGATATTCAACACAAATTCACGACAATTTTTACGTTCAAAGTCATTCATGGCTGGTTGAACAGAACCTTCTCTGATGATAAGGTCCAAAAATTTCGATTGGCACCTCGATGCTATATTACCAAAAAAAAAAAAAAATATATATATATATATAGATGTCAGGAATCGGATAACCTTAAGAAGTTAATGAATTATAAGACCACCATACCTAATTCGTAGTATTCCCGTTTTGTTTGATGTTTTGATATTTCAAGTTTATTTAATAATTCTTTCCTCAATTCACGTCTTTCGTTCTTAAAGACGAATAAAATATATGTCAAAGATTCCCGAAATGTTGTTGAAGCATCGGGTGCAACTTACCACATACTGCTGTCTAATTTGCAAGGCTCCTGCCTCATACTCTTTCTCTGCATGCGCAAACCCATGATCTCTTTTTTGACGCTGAAGTTCTCGCGTTTTTTGATACTCCTCATCCACTCGTCTCATCTCTTCCACATACTTGGGATGCGTCCCAGCTTTTAGAGTTGCTTCCTCTTCTTCTAGCTCTTTCTTCTTGTATGCTAATAGTCTGAAAGAAAGCGAAATCAGAACGTGAGCATCGGTTCGAGATCCAGTAAAGTAACTAATAACCATATATTTACCGTTCACGAAGTTCTTTAAAATAACCTGCCTTATCTTCGCCTTTGTTCCTTTTTCGACGATATTCGCGCTTGACTTTCAAACCATCGGCGTCGTCAGAAGAGTGACTCGAGTAATCAATTTCGATGGTTTTTGCTTGTATTTGGTAGGGAACAGAAGAAAAAAAAATAAATGGAATCAATTCCCTGTAAAAATGGAATTAGGTGTCAAAAATATGAATGGCATACCTGCAGTTTGTTTCGCTTTGGCAATTTTCCTGGAAGTTGTGCCAACCTTTTTTTTATTTTTACAATTGCGAGTTTTCTGCTTTGTCAAACCCTCCGAGATTTGCTGTGAAGGGTCTACTGAACTGGAACGCGTTGTGGCCGTGGACACTGTAGTCGACGGCGTCACAACGTCTATGGAGTCGGGCTGCCCTTTTTCCGCATCAGCTTTTCCTGAAAACGATTACCATTACGTTAGAAGGTGGGTCAAATTGGATAAAAAATAAAAAGAATAATTCAAACTCTACCTTCTACGGGAGGGCAGTATTCCTTGCCTTTTGCGGGGAACTCGGCTCTAGTTGATGCCCTGGTGCTCAAACGTTCTGTGGTTTTAAGACCTTTTGATTTATTCTTCAACCTATTGGTCATTTCTTATGAAACGAATTAAAAAGGAAAAAAAATGTGCATGAAATATTATTGAGATTAAAAAAAAAAAACGGAGAGAAATTTTATTTTATTTATATGAATCAAATATCTTCATGAACACTCATTTGATTGGACGATTTCATGTTGAACAAACTGCGCATTCAAAAATTATAAAAGGACCCGAAAATCCCCTCTTCTCGATTCCAAAGAATACATTCGGGTCTCGAGATTCGCGATCTGATATTTTTTTTTTTCTACCATCGTTTACATAGGTACTCAAAACCGGCAAGATGTTCTTGAATGAACAATTCCTTGCGGGTCAAAAGTTATATGAAAAAACTGAAAATTCGAACTTGGCTTCTTCCGATCCAATATATCAGGTACCATTGGTGCTTGCATTAAGGCGGTTGACCTAATTCTTCCGACCAATAAAATTATTATGACTTGATATACAGGAAGACGTGAAAAATGCAATTTTATATTTCTCCAAGTGTTCCGAATTGGTTGGTACACTAAATCTCTTCAGTCCAAATGAGACCGTGGACGATATCAATACAACCGACTTGAGGTTGGAAATACAATATAATGCATATAAGTGGATTCGTAATTTCTCGGAACCCTCTTCCTTACCACAAGCATTCGCCACAGGTTCCTTCTGGTGGAAGCTTATCTCGGCGATTTGACGACCAAGTTGGTTGAGAGTGATCGAGTTCAGACGTTGGACACAGCAAAGGTGCATTAAAATAATTGTAATCTTTTTTTTTTTTTTTACGCGATAACCTGCATGCGAGGTGTCAATGATTAATAGTGTAACCTGAATTTTACTCTTAAAGAGGTATTTTGAACAATTCATGCGAAATGTTGAATTATATGAGATCCTTAGAGATGATGCAAGTATTATTTTACTTTGTCACAAACACCTTACTGATGTCGTACTTAATTTTCACTCTGTTTGAATCGACGTAATTTTGTAGGACAAAAAATTCATAGAACAAGAAACTGGCGGAATGAACAAGGATGCGGCGAGGAGACGTGAGGAGAAGATTGCACGTTACAAACGAGAGAAAGAAACCAAAGTCACATTAATGGTGAAAAACTTTCGTTTTAATTGCGCATTACTATTGTTATTTATTTAAACTTATCTCCGATATATTGTTTGTACCGACAGAAATTACAGCAGCTATTGTCTTCAATCGGTGACGACGACAAGGAAGATGTTAATCGAAAGCACGTTTTAACCCTCATCGATCTCTTCATTCAAAAATCAATTGAACAATTAATGTCGATTAATCAGGAAATTAATTTACTGGCTCAAATGAAAAAAAGAGATCGCAGAGGTGAAGCTTCCTCTGGAAGGACCAACGACGATAGAGTTGAAGTTTCAACCAGAGATGATAACGGTCCGTTGTTATCATCGAATGGACGTGTAGGTGTCGGCGCATGTTTCACGTGCAATTTATCCTTTTATCTTGAACCAATTTTTCTTTGAATGCAGATCCTTCGTCCATTCGTCATTACGGACAAACGTGAGGAGATGCGGGAACAAGTATTTCGACCAGGTTGGCGACTTCCCACAATGACCATCGACGAATATCTTCAGCAGGAGGCCGAACGAGGAAATATCATTGATGGGGGAGGGTACGAATAACAAACGGATTAATGAAATAATTTGATTCCTAACACATAATATTTTCAGCAGACAAAATTCTATTGATTTTATTTAGTCAAAAGCAGTCGAAGAAAGTGATCGATGATAACGATGAGAGCGCCATAGACGCGGAAACATATAAAGCGCGGGAATGGGATGAATTCAAAGATTCCAATCCACGTGGTTGGGGTAAGCGGGACGTTCACATTATTTCACCCTCTTTGTCACAACAGCTAAACAAGAACTTTCTTCTATCACACTTCCATCGTCTAGGAAATAGGATGGGTAAAGGTTGAGTTCAGTGTTCATGAAAATAGAAAAATCATAACCTTAAATCAGAAAATTGTATTCCGATTTTGATATCTTCTAATTTAATTCGCGAAAACATTATCGATAAAAAGATGAAGTATTGAGTATCAAACTTTTACGTCCGTGCCCCCCCTAAATATTCGCATTTTATAAAAGTGCATATTTCTGTAATACTTACCGCATCATTATTGTTATCGTCACCAAAAGCATTAACCACACGAAGATTCTCGACGGCACCATAATTTTTCAGTAATTCGAATATCTTGCCAAAGTTATCCGCAGCTTTCTTATCCAAATTTTCATTCTTAGCCCTCCTATCTGCTGCGATCTCTAAAGCCTTGGAGTCTGGCTGGACACAACCGTGCTTTAGTAATAGTGTGACCATCTCAAGATTTCCTCTATCGACACTAACATACAATGCAAGCATTTCGACTTTAGCTCCGTAATGAATCAAAAGTTTTGCCATTTTGATATTTCCTATTCGTGCTGATTGGACGATTGGGTAACCGTTCATCATGTCCGGTGAAACCTTACGGTCGAGAAAAATTTTTGTTAATTCTAGCATTTGATCATTTTCCTTGCGGAAAAACCACTGGGGAAGAGATCGATTTTCGCAAGGAATCACATCGCATCCGGGATTTTGTTGATGGTACAAATTGTCCAATTGATTAAGAATCTCCTTGTTAAAAAACTTCCACTTTATACCTCTGTGCAAAGCTTTCTTGCAATCCCCCTCAAATTTACACAGCAACCACTGAGTCTTCACACTAGTTTGAGAATTCGCGGCCTTATAGAAATTTTGAGAGACGAGAGGAAAATGCGGATTGCCAGATAGAATAAAAATGTATTGCAAAACTTCGAGAGGAAGTAACTGTATGTTTATTGCATTCGTAGACATCCTGGATTATAGGGGAGAGAGAGAGAGGTCTGAATGCCAATTCGTCATCCACAATGAATTGATTAGGCATGTGGATGTTACACGAATTTGGAAACAACCAATAGAAAAAATTTTATGAATGAACAATGAAAAATCATCGCCCACTTTAATGTAGTCATGTGACAAATATTCGTGACGATTTTAAAATATTTACAATTTAATTCATCAGCAATTCTGCGCGAGAATAAATATTACATGACGTTGTATATATACAGCAGTTCCGTTGGAAAAAAAAAAAAGAAATTAAAATTAAAATTAAAATTAAAAAATTGAAGGGCGAGATCAAACTGTCCTTACTCAAATCGGACCGTTTTCTATATTAATGGAATGTATTTTATACATTAGATGTGATCTTTTTCATAAAATAACATGTACGCCTCTTGCTCTAGAACTTTCGACAGTTTCACTTCCTCGATATTTTCGTCTGATAATCGCCACCAGCAATCCAGTCCTTCTCGACGCCGGTAAGTAACAAAGTGACCGAGTTTGTGGTCCCCTATGTGAGCTATGATTGCCTTTAATCTATAGTGAACTTCGTCAGGGCGGGCACCCTCGATGCCAGCTAACATTGGTGACAATAGCGGAGAAGACAGTGATGATGACGGTGATGAAAGCGGCTCACTAGGCATGGTCGCCAGATAACCGGTGGTCGTATACTGCGTCAGGTCAATTTTCTCGGGGAATAATACACTGCAGGGATTCTTTAGTGTCATCCCATTTTGGAGGTAAATTGAACGTGAAAAATGGAGAGCGAACACTTTCGGAAGTTTGGCAAACATCGTTTGTTTACTGGCTAGAAAGTTCACGCGCGCCAGTTTCGTCACTTCCAGTTCACTGTCAATCTCTTTGTCCACATCGGTTACAAGTGCTGTCTTGATAATTTGCTTGTCTTTGTTCAATTTCCGTAAATATTCCTTGTTTGGATCGTCTTTTCGATCTATCAATTCCTTCTCAACAACAGCCAAAGTTTCGAATAAACTACATTGGGGGCAATTATATTCATCGATGAATTCAATCTCGGAATATGTTCGGAGAAGGTTTTCAAGAGTTACAACTTGTTGCTTGGGGAGAGGAATTGAAATGTTATCAAACGTCGAATGTCGAATTGGCCCGCAGTATTTGCATTTCATACAGGAAATTCTGCATGCTGTCAAACCGACTAGAGGGTTACGGTCACATATCAACCTAGCCTTGTTATTGCCAGTTAGAAATCGAATGGTATCAATATCCAATAAAGACTTTGGCCGTCGACTGACTTCATCCTCCAATCCCAATGATTCCGACAAAAGCTGAAATAATTCATGTGCGTCTTGTTGCTGTCTATTAATAAGTCGTCTCGCATTAGCCTGCAGAGCCCAGACAATTCTGTTCGGAACGAACGAATCACGAGTTGCTAAGGGTTCATTCAACTTTTCCAATGTTTCGTGCAAGGCAATCGTCATAGGGCGCTCTTCATCCTGTGCATCTCTAGATGTTGCTTTCCTGCCAAGATATATGCGCAGATTATGTAAAGCGGCAAGAGCCTGAAGCACGGCATTAAGGAAACAAACATTGTTCCCTTGATTGACCAGCCCATAAACATAGGTTTTCTTACTTTTGTGAATACCCTTTTTTTTGCGCTTTGAACGTTTAGGCGTCGAAATAATAAACGGGGTAGCCATTGCAAATATTGCGATCGTGGTTACCACTAATTGCAAGTTGCTCACATCCATGATTGCGTTATTCTATGTTTTTTTTTTTTTTTTGGCAAAAAAGATTCCTTTGCGTATTTTTATGTGACATATCAAATTTTCGTGTGACGAACACCAGATCCTTAACGTTAATTGATATTTTAATTTTAAACACCATCATGGTCACAAAATACGTTCTTTGAATTCATCCAGCTTCTCGAGGACTGATATGTGTATTGGTTTATATTATATTGAGGTGTTATAAACGAAAGGATCGGGTGAGCATATACAGGATAAAAAGGACATTGGATTAAATAATTCTCAGTAATTGGAGGATATGTTTGTTAGTTTTGCGCGAGGACTTGGTCCCACAGTTTAACTAGACTCTTCTATCGCGATTTGTTTTCTTTTTTTGCGTCATCATTAAGAAATGCCACTGTTAAAGAATACATTACATACTGCATATTCTCTTTATAATGAGTCTTTTTATAGTGAATTTCGAATACAACCTTATATTACAATAATTTTGTAACATATAGTATATACTAGTTTAAAATAGTTCTCTTAATAAAATATAAACTATTAATACGGTTGCTTCCAAAAGTTTGAGTCCACTCACTATGTTTTTATTATAAATTTTAACTTTGACAATTTTTAAATCATTAACTATACAGTCAAAAATTATAAAAATTATATACTGTATATTATGTCTTAATACTTATTCTATTTTTTAAAAGAATTTTTTATTAATACATTCTAAAGTTTTATTATTGCTAAATATCTTTATTTTTTCATTAATTATTATATGATTTATGATAACAGCCAATCAAAATCCTCCAAAAGTAAAAATTTAATAAAGAAAGAAATTTTTTAACAATAATAAAACTTTAAAAATTACATATCAA